CAGCCCAGCTTTAGCCAAGGCACTCGCCGTGAAAGTCATTCCGCGATCCGTGAGTCGCGCGCCCAGCACACCCTTCACCAACGTGCCACTCGTTGCCAAGTCTAATCTGCGACGCACAAGGAGACCACCAGCAGCATACTCCAACAAGCGCACACTTGCAGCGAGCTTCCATTCGCGTGCAACGAAACGGCCGGCGTGCGCAACACCCCAGCCAGGCACACTCGCTGCGAGTTCTTCTTCGCGACTAGCGAAACGTCCGTCACGCGGCACTTCCCCAAGGCTGCACTCGCTGTGAGCCCTCACTCGCGAGCCGCGAGATGCGCAATCCGGGCAGCCCTTGGACTCACTCGCTGCGAGCTTCATTTGGCGAGCTGCGAAATGCACTTTTCAGTTGATTTTTACTCCAAAACTCGCCGCGAACAAGATTTTGAGACCTGCGAGTTGCTGAATCATTAAATGTGTGTGCACCTAGTGTGTGTTTTTCCTTTTCTTTTCGTTGATGGCATGAGAATCCGGTAGTTTAGTTTTGCTAATTGCTCGTTATTTACTATTGCTCGTAATTAATTCCTTGCTTAGTGTCAATTCAACTCAAACCAATCGTTTGGAATGTTTACGTCTTTATTTTCCCCTTTTTGTGTGATTTGAACAATCGAGTAGTAGATAAAGCTCCGAAGCGCCTTCCTTAGAGAACGACCCGAGTCCGTGTAACTTGGTTACCACATACCCACAAACTTACACTGAACAGTTGACACTAAAACGAACCTAAAAACGACTCGAATAAAACACATAAAACACAAGAAAATACCACCAAAAAACCTCAAAAACAACGGGACGGTGGCGGGTGGAATTCGCAACGCCGATCATGGACTGGGGACTGGGGACTGTTATCGGGGATGGAGACTTTCAAATGAAAATTTGATAATTTTCATAGACCTGCAATTTCATAACCTTTAATCTATTATAATTTAGCACTTGATGCAAATATGTAATTTAACAAAAGTTCAATACATGCACAATAATAATAAATCAAACACCCAATAATCTTCAGTCTAAGATACATTAATGTGCAATTCGTCTAACAATACCGTGCACGGTTTTGGTAGCTATTGTGCAGTATGAACCGACCAATCTTTTGTCTAAACCAATTTAAAACTGGACGAAATTAATTAGTTTATTTGATCGGTAATCGAATTAACCAAAATATCTGAATTGAAATATTATTTATATTATAAAATCATATTTAGTATTTTAATATTTTTATCCAACATTTTATTTTTTTTTTTTTGGTTGAATTTTTTTTCTATAAAAATATAGGAAAATAGTATGTTTTTATATAGTCCGGTCGAGTTGGTTATTTCAGTTATTTCAAAACATAAAGATTATATATATATATATCGTACTGAAATAACTAAAAAATTCAAGGTAGAAACGGAGAATCGAACTGACATATAACATTCGAACCAAAAACTTAGTTCAGTCGAGTTCGGTCGATATAATGCAATCTGGCAGTCACTAATGTGTAACCCGTCTGACACTAACGTGCACTCAAAATGCAGTTATTTTTTAGTGATTTCTTCCAAACTAAACTAAAATCGAAATAGTCATTTTATTTGATCGGTTAATCGAATTAATATAAATAATCAAAATAATGTCTAATTTATATTATAAAAATATTAGTAGTTTATATTTAATATTTTATATTACATTTTGTTGTAAAGACCAAAAATATACAAAAAACTAAATAATATTTTTTT